TTTTAAAGAATATTTTTTGTAAGGCATTCAAATTTTTTGCTTGCTTCCCTAAATGTTTTTAATTGCTTCCTAAATTCATAAAAATTATCTGAGTTGACATCCGGCTACTGTTTACATTATCTTTTAAATGTTACAAGGTTTTTTTCTTTTAAATTTACAAATGTAATAAAATAAGTAATTTTCACAAAGCTAATGACCTTGAAAAAATAATTTATTTTGATTTTGAGAGCAGCCATTTAACTTCGAAGTTAAATTAGTTTGTGCATTTATGACACCCTAATCTAAGTATTTTAAATATTTAATTGTAATTGAAAAATGTAGTTTTGCAGTTAGTTCTCAACAATGGCATTAATTTAATTCCCAAAAAATAAAATATTTTTTAAGATTTTGTAAATGTTTTGTTTGTGGGCAACACTAAATCCGGTTTGTTCGAATTTCAGAATTCATTGCGTTTTACTCATCACATGGGATTTGGTATTGGTGGCGTCTCAAAGTGATTTTCCATCTAAGCCCAAGAACTGTGAACAAGTTTAAACAAACTTGTAAACTTCCTGTTTGTTTGAGAGGTTAATGATTTTGTGGTTGAAATATCTATTCAAAGAACTGGTTTTAAAGAACTAATAAAATAATTTTATATTCTTTTATTAGACATGACTTTAAATATGATGTTTTGTGTTACGATTTCAGATAGAACCTTTGATAAAATCAAAACAAACTCTGTTAATAAATTAACAGCTATTATGAAATACTAAACTGTCACAAGTTATTATGTGCCCAAAGTTTAAAATTTTTGCAAAGTCATTCAATCCAAATCCAAAATCTATTTAGAAATAAAAAAACGCTCAACAGAACCCATCCGACTCTCGTATTTGCAATAAAATTTAATCTAAGTTCGTATCTCATAAAACGTAAATAAAATGACACGTTTAGTCTAAAAAATTTTGAATGACAATTTGAAATAATTTTGGTTTTTTAAGTTTAAGTAACAGAACTAGTTCATAGTTTTTTCTTAACAATATTAAGTATTCTCTTTAAGAAACATAACAACACCAACTAATCATTTATATGCATCATGTGTCTAATAAATGCATATTTAGAAAGGGAAAATGTGCTAAAATTTATATTATTATTCAATATTTTGGCAAGGAACATGATCTATGCATTTTTGGAAAGAAACGTCAAATCAAAACTAGTTTCATGGGATGTTCTAGTTGTTCCCGACTAGTAGAAAAATATTGAAGACTAGCACGTGTTTAATAGAATTGAAATAATTTCAGGGACAACAAGGAATTTTTGTTGATAAGAATTAAAGCAGAACATGATTAGGGCTTCGAAAAAAATTAAAAAATACATTCCTAGAAAAAATATTCTATATAAAATACAGACCTAAAAAAATATTCTTTAAAAAATATAGGCCTAGAAAAAATATTCTTTAAAAAATACATGCCTAAAAAAAATATTCTTTAAAAAATATAGGTCTAGAAAAAATATTGTTCAAAAAATACAGGTCTAGAAAAAAATATTCTTTAAAAATCCACGCCTTGCTGGGCCTTAGAAAAAATATTCTTAAAAAATCCACGCCTTGTTGGGCCTTAGAAAAAATATTCTTTAAAAAATCCACGCCTTTCTGGGCCTTAGAAAAAATATTCTTTAAAAAATCCACGCCTTCCTGGGCCTTAGAAAAAATATTCTTTTAAAAATCCACGCCTTGCTGGGCCTTAGAAAAAATATTCTTTAAAAAATCCATGCCTTGCTGGGCCTTAGAAAAAATATTCTTTAAAAAATCCATGCCTTGCTGGGCCTTAGAAAAAATATTCTTTAAAAAATCCACGCCTTGCTGGGCCTTAGAAAAAATTTTCTTTAAAAAATCCACGCCTTGCTGGGCCTTAGAAAAAATATTCTTTAAAAAATCCACGCCTTGCTGGGCCTTAGAAACAATATTCTTTAAAAAATCCACGCCTTGCTGGGCCTTAGAAACAATATTCTTTAAAAAATCCACGCCTTGCTGGGCATACAAAAAATATTCTTTAAAAAATCCACGCCTTGCTGGGCCTTAGAAAAAATTTTCTTTAAAAAATCCACGCCTTGCTGGGCCTTAGAAAACATATTATAAAAAATCCACGCCTTTGGGCAAAAAATACTTTAAAAAATCCACGCCTTGCTGGGCCTTAGAAAAAAAAAAAATCCCCGCCTTGCTGGGCCTTAGAAAAAATATTCTTTAAAAAATCCACGCCTTGCTGGGCCTTAGAAAAAATGTTCTTTAAAAAATCCACGCCTTGCTGGGCCTTAGAAAAAATATTTTTTATAAAATCCACGCCTTGCTGGGCCTTAGAAAAAATATTTTTTAAAAAATCCACGCCTTGCTGGGCCTTAGAAAAAATATTCTTTAAAAAATCCACGCCTTAATGGGCCTTAGAAAAATATTCTATTAAAATCCACGACTTGATGGGCCTTGAAAAATATTCTATAAAAAATCCACACCTTTATGGCCTTAAAAAATATTCTATAAAAAATCAACGCCTTCATGAGCCTTGGAAAAATAGTATTTAAACATTGAGGCGTTGATGGGCCTTAGAAAAATATTGTTTACTAGCATATGCCCGCAACTTCGTTAGCGAATGTAGGAAATATTAAAACATTTATTAACATATTATATCATTTTCACAGCATACTGCATATGTCAGAAAAAAAAAACAATCCACACATTAATATCGACCATAAATTAAATTTGAGTACCATTTAGTACCAAATTTCTCCCAAATCCAAATTTTCCATTTAGCACACATTATTTCCATAAGCACCCTCTTCAACCATTCAACAAAACTTCATGCATACCCCAATCCTACACCCCCAACCATGATTCCAAATTCTAATTTCAGGATTCCAACTCTATTGGTTCACCCACAATTTAAATTGTACCAACTTTTGTAAACAGTAGTACCAATTCCAAAACTTCCTATATACCCCAATCCTACACCCCCACAGTGATCCTAAATCCAAGTTTCAAGATTGTAACTCTATCGGTTCAGCCACAATTCAAATTGTACCAAATTTTGTACACAGTAGTACTTATTTCCAAAACCTCCTTCCTACCCCAAACCTCTATTGGTTTACCCACAATTTAAATTGTACCAAATTTAGTACACAGTAGTACGAATTTCAAAAACTTCCTACATACCCCAATCCTATACCCCCACAGTGATTCTAAATCCAAGTTTCAGGATTCACCCCCAATTCAAATTGTACCAAATTTTGTACACAGTAGTACCAATTCCGAAACTTCCTATATACCCCAATACTACACCCCCCTCAGCGATCCTGACTCCAAATTTCATGATTCTAGCTCTATTGGTTCACCTAAAATTCAAATTGTACCAAATTTAGTACCATTTAGTACCCATAGATCCTGATTCCAAATTTCATGATTCTAGCTCTATTGGTTCACCTAAAATTCAAATTGTACCAAATTTAGTACCATTTAGTACCAATAAGTATTAATTTGTTAAACTGAATCCTGAGCCTAATCCTACATCCCTACAATGATCCTAACTCCAAATTTCATTGTTCCAGCTCTATCGGTGCACCCAAATCCAAATTGCACCAATTACATTTTACACATAAGTAAAAAAATCCAAAACGACGTACATATCCCAATCCTACACTCCGACGGTAATGTTCCATTCAATTTTCAGGATTCCAGCTCGATTTGTACCTCCAAATCAAATTTGTACCAAATATAATACAATATAGTACTTTTCGTACATATGAGTACACAATCTCCTCATATCGACCCTACTTCTCAACCATAATTTGGTTTCCAAATTTCAAGTTTTTAGCTCAAACCATTCACATGCTACGAAATTGTACCAAATTTAGTACTTTTCGGATACTTATAGTTCGAATTTCCAAAAAGCCCTTTGCTACAGCTATTCTACACTCCATCAGCGACCCTCAATCCAAATTTTTTGTTCGCCAAATACAAATGATACCATATTTAGTACTATTTAGTACTTTTTGTATCGTTCTAGTACGAATTTCCAAAAACCCAGCCTTATCTGTCACCTTTGGACCAAGACCCTCACCAAAAATCGTTAAATCAGTCAGTCAATCACTTTACGCTTTTATTAGTAGGTATAGATTAAATTGAGGCCTGGATGGGCCTTTAAAAAAATTCTTTAAAAAATTCACGCTTTGATGGGCCTGCAGACAGTTTGATTTCATGGTCGGAGAAATAGTCTAGTCTAGTCCATGATCTATTTTTTCCTTAGTTCTTTTGGTTAAATAATTTATTTTTTATTTAAGCAACAAATAAAAAAGCTCGTTTTCTATTTGTCTAGCGAGTGACCCAGACATATTAAACTTCAAAACTGTTTGGCTAAATGGTAATTTAAAATATTCACAATTACTGATTTGAAATACAAGACCCTCACCACTATCATCAGACACATTGAGAATACTTCGCTAAAGAAACGCTGTAAATTCGAGTGTGGCAATGCCGTCACATCCGGAGCCGGTTTCTTGACATCAAACATTTATGATTTACGACGTCGACGATGACGGCGCAACCTATGCTCATGAGAGTAGTGGTTGTGCGCATGCGTACTGCCCAACTTCAATGGGCAGACCTCGACAACAGCAGAGCTAGACGTAGCTGCGGCAGCATCACCTCCAACGAAATTCACAAAATTCGCCCAAGAAAACAAAAAAACGTTGGTTACCATTGAAAATGTTCGAATACTTCTTTTAAATTTTTATGCAATCGCTGAGCGGTGGTTAGTTGACAATCGGCCAGCATAAGCGAAACAACGCAACTTCGTGCTTGTTTCGTTGGAGAAAAAGAGCGCGCGCAAAAAAGTAACGAATAGCATTGATTTGAAAATAATAAAAGAAACCGAAAACTGTGAATGTGAAAAAAATAAATAAAAAATTGAATTAAAAAAAAAAAACAAAATCAGAACGAAATTTTATAAAAAAATATTTTTGAAAAAAAAACCAAAAGAAAAATAAACAAACATGTCTTCTCGCGTCATTAGCTCTTTGATGGCTGAGAGTTTTTTGCTCTCAAAAACCGTTAAATATATTTCCGGCTATTCGCCCATAACTGTATTCCTAGTCGCTGCCATTTTAATTATTACCGTGGTCTATAATCGGCGCCGCGCCCGTTTGGTGCGTCTCATTGAAAAAATACCCGGACCAAAAGCAATGCCCCTGCTGGGTAATGCCGTGGAGATGAGTGTCGATCATGATGGTAAATATCGAAGAGTGAATGTTGATTTATTTGAGAAGTATAAGAAAAAAAAAACAAAATGAAAAAATGGAGAAGAAGAAGAAGAAGAGAAAAACACTTTAATTGTGACCCCATTACGAATTTATTTTGATTTGTATGTTTTGCCACCGAAAAATCGAAAGTGTCGAAGAGATGTTTCTTAAGTTTGATTGTGACGTTATCAAAAGTTTTTTGACCCTACCCTACCGCAATAGTTTTTTTCGTGCCAAAGGGAATACAAAATTATTCGTTCAAGTTGCTCGATTAAATAATCTCTCTCTATTTTTTCACATTTTGATTGCGGTGGAACTGAGGTGTAAACTATTTTAACCCTGAATTTATCCCATATGTTTGGTGTGATTGTTATGATTTTTCACTCCCCTACCCCCGGGCTTCATCGATTTGTGTGCTTGCATTGAACCGTGCAGCAATAAATGAAAGTGTTAATTAATTACTCAAATCTGTATCAATCGGTTATTTTTCGATTTGTAATACAAGAACAACAACAACAAGAAGAAATTGCTATAAATCTTTATTACTACACAACATGATGATTATTTTCTATTTGAAAATTTATAAACAAAAATAATCGTAGAAATAGATTTGTTGGTATTTTTTATTGATTGAAGCCAATGTTTTTTATTAAAAAAAAAATTCAAATTATTTTCAAAAGTTCTGAAAATTAGAAGAATTTCACTAAATTTTAGTGAAAATTCGACATCATCAGAACATCAGAACTACTAGGTAATAATGTGGAACCAAGGTTTTGAATTTACAAAAGGATGAGCATATACATTTAAATTCGCCCCCATTCCGCCCATTTATCACCTTTTATTACAATTTGCAAATATGTATTTTTGAACTATGAAATTTTGCAAACCCATTGCTACTACTCCTAGGTGGTTTTCATATAGACTCATATAGCATTGCCCCTAATATTCGGAACAGTGGAGATTTTTGGCAGAGATCTTAAAGTGTAGCAAATCATCCTATAAGAAATTATTGGTATTGGTCTACTTTTTAGGGTAGCTTCTATATAATATTACCTTACGAATTTCTGTATTTTTTGTGGAGGTTGAGTCCATAATATTTTCCTGCTATTTATTTTTTTATAAGGTAAAATAATCTCCAAACTAAAAAATTTTTGATATTGACTTAAATTGTGGGTAGGACTCGCATGCCTTCATTATTTGGTAGTCATGATATAAAATCCCCCATAAAAGTCCCGATCGATTTTAGGTATTTTGAATGTCAACCTCATGGTGGAAGATATAAATATGCATCCAATGGAAATAATATTTATTAGTCACATTTCTTTAAATGTATATTATTTCAAATCGTTTCGAAATGGATTTGAGCTACGGAAATATTAATCTGACTTATTTATTTTTTTTAATTTATTATGGTGTATATTATAAATTCTTACTTCTAGCGTATATCCAAAAGTGACTAAGTCAGATTCAATTTCCCCCCTCAGCCATGTTGCATTTTGCAACGGCATAAATATGCCTCATCGAAATATTGGTTTTAGACCCCATGTTTCTTTAGACCAAATCCGTTTCAGACAGTTTGGAGTCGATTTACAACTGTCTGTCTTTCCTTCCGTCTGTTTGTCTTGATATTACGCACGATAAATCCCGAAAAGAGAAAACCGAATTCATAGTTTAAGTTTATCTCCCCCAGAAAATGTTAAAAATTGTGCTAAAAATTAATTGTTTAATATCATGTAAACGGATTATCCGATTTGAACCAACCTTTGTACAACCTACTACTTTTACCAAGCCTAGATCAAGTTTGAAGATGGGTCCCATTGGCACATTCCTTCTGATAGCTCCTCCACAAATGGTGAATATTTTCAATATTTATAAATTTAATATTAGGCGAATGGAATGTCCGATTTGAACCAAATTTTGCCAAACCTATTATTTTTACCAAGCCTAGATCAAGTCCGAAGGTCGGACCCCACTTTTTTACTTTTATATGTGCTCGCATTATTCGGTTTGTACCAAACATTGCAGAATCTAATATTTTAACCAGGTCTGTATAATTTTGGAAGATGATACTTATATTTCCATTTTTTCTAGTACCTCCTCCACAAAGGGTAAATATCGTACAAAATTTGCCCATCGCAATATTTTTACCAACCCTAGATCAGGTTTTAAGATTCGGACCACTCCTTTTGCAACACCCTTCACAGAGTGTCGAAATTTTCAATATTTATAAATTCTTCGTAGTATTTTTACCCCCTATAAATCAAGACCGAAGATTGGATCCATCGGTCCACTTTGCACCCAGAATTTTTGGTCAATAACTAAAAAAAGTATACGTAGATCAAAACCCGTGGTACATTCGTACCCATCCGAATATAACTCTGTAAATCATTTATAAAAGTGGCTAACATGCTTTTTAAATTACTCTGTATAGGTCTGATCTAGATGTAGGAATTCAAAATTATATAATAATATATAAACAATAAACAACATAGTAATTTCCGAATGGGTTCAGTTTTTTTAATTATTTTTTATAGGGATCTTATATAGGTGTTCCCCAACCCCTCTGCATATTTTTGTAGTCGTAGACAACATGGGACCATCGGGTGACTCGTTGAAGTCAGCAACTATGTTGGTTTTCCTTTGGTACACCTCAAGAACGATTCTTAACAATTTGATCCTAATATCTGAATTATTAAAAATTTAACAGCATTTTTATTAAAAAAAGTATACAGATGTGCCCGGTTATTGATTGTAGAGTTAAAAATTATAAACAAGTGTCATTTTAAAGAGTTTAGTCACCTGGTTCAATAAAATTGGTTGTGCTTATGTTTTCCGGGTAGAAAGTGTTCAATATAGGTCCACAGTTTAATATGAGCCTCATATAACGGTATCGCCGAATTTCCGATATATTGAAGATGTTAGCTTACTTTTTCAATAGAAAAAAAAAAAAAAAAAAAAAAAATTCCCTTTTTTACGTACTCTCATGGCCCTAGGTGCATTTCCAGTGTAAGTGTCTTAAATTAGGCACTTTGATATTTTGGTGGGAACCCCTTTCCATGCAAAAGAAGTTTAAATAAAGGCCTAGCCTAGTCACAATATAAAAGATACTGGCCCATTTTATTTTTTCCAACAGAACATTTTCTTTTTGTCCAAATAAATGTCCGGCCCGTTTTTGGGTTTTTGTGTTTTTGAAAATTTATTTGTTGAAACTTATTGCCACAAAATTTTTTTTGGGTATAAGAACCCATTTCGGCTTTTTGGATGATAAAATACCAATTGGCAGAATATTTTTAGTATTGATCAAAATTGCATTTTGATCCATATAACGCAGTTGTAGATCTTAGTTGAATTTTCCAATGTAAGGGTCTGTAATTCGACATTTCGTTCTCTCAGAGGAAAAAAAAAACATCACCCGCAAGACTATTTGCCATGATAGCGCCCATATGAAAATGACCGACTTATTTCTAGTTGGAGATTCCAAATTAACGATGGTTTTACTTTGATATTCACAATATCAAAATATTTGATGTTTATTAAACCATTTCATTTGACAAAACTCATTCAAATTTGTTACCGTACTGGTCTGGAGCAGACCACAAAATGTATTCAAATTCGATATGAATATAATATTCAAGAAGAATAGAATATGATGAAAATCTCAATCTCTCGGGGTCAAATTTTTTTTTGATGTAACTCGAATCTACACTAATTCAAGAATGTCCCTACAAAATTTCAAGTGACAATCTCAAGAACTCTTGAAGATATAGCCGATTTATTGTGTCTGCATCAAGTGACGGCTGAAGGGCTTCTCAAACTTTAAACGCGTTTTTCTCTTTTGCGAATGGCGGGCACTATAACTCAAAAATTAATAACCCAATCGTTTCCAAATTTTTACACGTTTCTCTGTGAGTGTATAGCTATCGTATGAACTAGGATAAAGCCAATCGGTGAAGATCTTCCTTATTTTTTAACTTGGTTTTTGGTCACAAATCGGCAATTTTCCAAAAATATTTTTTCAAAGGTCCGCCATTTTGTTAATTTTAGTGCGAAGTCAATAATCCTAGTTCATACGAGAGCCAGACATGTACTCTTTCTAACACCGTTGGAATTTTCGGATTCCGATGTTCCAGTGAGGAGTTATCATGCCCGCCATCAAAAATAAGGACTTCTCTTTAATTACAAAAAACAACAACAAAACAATTACACAATTTTTTTTGTAAATTATTTTTCTTCTCTCCTAAATCTTCAAATATATATGTGCAAAGTTACAAACCTTAACAAGCATTGGTATTGATTTACCAGCCCATTGAAAATCTTGAAAAATTAAAATCGAGAAAATTAAGATCTCAAGCTCATCAAAGGAAATAACAAACAGCTAAAGTATTGCCAAAAAGGACACAAAAAATACATATTTTGGAACTTAATATATTTTTTCTGCTAATCATTAGTTTTACCTTGTATATAACGAACAACAAACTTGGTCCCTACTAGTTCGCTATAATCGTATTTTGCTGTATTTCTCTATAATCCAAAAATAAAATGACTATTTTCTCTATATAGACAATAATACATTGTTCCTATATTTTAGATTTTTTTTTCAAATTAAGGATTACTGAGCTAGAATTTGCTTTTAAATTCGGTTTCGTACATATTTTATGCATAATTTTGATACACCCCGTCAAATATTAATATAACAATTATGAATAATATTCCCACAACAATTAAATAGATACCTGGTGTGTGCTTTACAAGTCATGCATATCAATAGCTATTGTTGATATTGTAGTAAAAATACAAACAACAAAAATAAATAAAAACAATAATGTGTTTTAATATTATAAACACACCATTATTATATAGTTTATAATGACTTGAATGGGCAATTTGTAACACATTTTTATAAAAAAAGCAATAATAATAATAAAAATAACGCTTACAAACAGTGATAAATTTTTCCCACACGCATAGCCAAGAAGGGCTAAAAACGCA